TTTATTTAATTTATTTTTTAAGTGAAAGGAAAATAAACGAAAAGATCTATATCATTAAAAAATATTTGTGACTCATCTTTCTATATCAGTTTTTTTGGAGATATCGATCAGTTTTTTTATCTTTAGAGGGTTAGCTAAAACAAGTACGGCCAATTTGATGAATATCGCAGAAGGCAAGAAGTTTCCGTTTACTTGTTAGTAGCTTTATTATTAGCATCATTTCTGAAATTACGGAATCGAATACTTTAGTTTTTTTAGTTGTATTTTAAGATTGTGCCAAAGCTGTTGAAAGACTAAACGAATTTGTCTTCAAAATGAAAAAGATTTTAAATGCATTCCCTAATATGCTCTTTTATCTACAATTTAACATTTTGTCCCTACAGTTAACTGTACGTGTAGGTTAAAAATAAATAAAGTACGGATCGTTACATTATACAGTTTACATTAAATGACGTTTTTTTTCTAAGGTGTAGACAGTACTGTGTCGGTTACGGAATATTAAATATAATTTATTTGTTCGTTTTTGACGACTTCTAAAAAAATATTGTAACTAAAAATACATTCGTTGTGTTTCATAAAAAATACTTTCACTTTGTTTATCTATTGCCTCAGAAACAATTTAATAAAAATAAATCACATCGTTTTTACCTGAATGACCACTTTCTTCAAATTCATTATTGTAAATGAAAGTATGTATATAACAAATGTTTATACTTAAAATTCCCATAAAAAAATTCACTTTCAAAGAGTCTGATATTGGTTGAAATGATATCATTAAACATAACTAAGAACTGTCCCGATCAAACCACCTTTCAAGGAAAAAAAACTGCATTGAAACTTTTTTATATACCGGTTGTGTAACTAAGCGCGCTTTCTTCGAGATCTCATTAACTATTAAAAATGGAAAAAAGACTTGACGACCAGAGTTGCACGGGTATTTCATTTGAAAAAAGCTAAGTTATGTAGTGCCGTTTTGCAGATAAGCCTAGTTAAATTTGAAAAAAGGCTTTTTTTGAACTCAAAATGGCATATTTCAATTTATGTTTGTCATTCCTTACTAAATGCATGGAATATGCGATCTAAAAATTTGCTAATAGCAGTTTTTAAATCGAAAATGACACTTTCCGATATGTTTTCGTGTTTCCTTACGAAATTGATCGAATATCCGGTTTAAAGATTTGCTCATAGAAGTGTAAATCTTCAAGGAATCGAATGCTTTGAACCGCAAAGCAGAATCTACAGCCGTTTTGGAGTTATGTCTCGATAAATTTGATAAAAGGCTTTTTGTAACTCAAAAACAAATGCACCCACTGTGCTGTAATGTCAGTGATGTGAGTATACAGAGTGTTTATAAGAAAAATCTTAAATAGTCTAACTTTCAAATAGTCATATCTCCATCCGGTGAATGACTATTTTCATGTTTTCTCGACTTTTCATGACCCGTAAAGTACGAAAAATAGATCTCCCGTTTCCGTCTGACTGTCTGTCCGTCTGTTTGTCATCTTCTGTGTTGATTTTTATTAGACAAATAATCTCCGAAACTAGTGAATGGATTGTTAAATTTTATATGTGATTTAAGAATATCATGTAGATGGTAAAACGTTAACCAAAATTTGTCAAATCATCCTCAGCATAATTTGCTGACGTTCTCTTATCATTTTGCGTAATAAAAATTATCTAAATTTTAAAAACTTCTGTACTCGTGGTTTATGAATCCGCCTTGATTTTTGTCCTAATTATTTTCCAACTATTTTTTGTGCGATGTTGGAATAGTGGTTTAGTTGATTAAGTGGTAGACTGTCTAAGTAGTGCTCTGTCCGCGTGGGTTGAAATCCCATCCTTACCAAATGTTTTTTTACACTGTGACTGGTATCTATATATTTTTACTTCCCAAGAGTAAGTCCATCGGGCGACTCGCTACTTTTATGTTTGCCTGACGTTTCATGACCCCTAGTTTGTCTGCCTGCTATTTGCCGTCTGCCGTCTCCGTCGATTTTTATTAGACATACAATCTTGTAAACTACAGGACCGATTGTTATCAAATTTTATATTTATGTTATGAAGATCATGTAGCTAATAAAACGATGACCTGACCAAAATTGATCTGACCATCACCACCACCAATGCGATGACGTCATTTCCAAAATTTGCAGTAGTAAATGTTATTTAAATTTTATAAAATAACCAGTTGTAGTTTATGAATCCGTGTTCAGTTTTTACCCTAGGCATTCAGATTTTTGTAAAAAAATCAAAATTGTATAATAACATTTTACACTTTAACTTTGAAATTGAAAAACAGAATGTTCTGAAAACCTGTAAACATTTTAAGGTTATTGGAAATGGTAAATCGTTCTTCAAAATTTATCCGTGTACGACCCCTCAAAAAACTGATGATGCCTCCCTTAAAAACTGATTTTGGGAAATAAATCCTGTCTAAAATATATAAAATATGATCCTTGTGATTTACATTTTTATAAATGCTTATACAGGGTGGTTTAAAAAAAAAATGAATGAGTCAATTTATTTTATTGATTAACTCAGAAGCGGTAAAACCGAATGCTTTGAAATCTTGCAAACGTTTTAAAGTTTATCGTAAGCACGGAAAATTTGTAATCAAAATATATTTGTTTTTCCCTTCTAAAAAATTGATGACGTCGTTTCAAAATTTTGCCGAATAAATCCTATCGAAAATGTGAAAAATATGATGATTCCATACGTGTGATTTATTATTGCACTTATATTTTTTAGAATTACTGGGGTGACTCAAAAAAATTAATGAATAAGTTAATTTATTTTCTTGATTAAATGAAGAAATGCAAAACTGAATACTATGAAATCTTGCAGAAGTCCTTGCAAAAATATGGGTGATGTCATCACAAAATTTTGTAGAGGAAAAACTCATTTGAAACATGCACGCAGCACGCTTCATTACATTACATACGTATCTTTATTTTAACCTGTAGAGATTCTCATTAAAAAAAGAAAACAAAATTTTCAGAATGAAGTTTTGTAAATTTTCGAAATAAGCTGTTTAATAATGCTTGAGGTGTGAGGAAATTCTGTTAAAATAAGCTTCGGCCAATTTTTTACTTATAGGGGTTATCATAAAATAAAATTTTGCAAAGTCAGATTTGGATTTGTTCCATTGTCTTTAAGGGGCGAGGGAAATTCTACCATAGACCAATTTTTTTTCAAATAGAACAGCCTGCATTTTATTACTTTATCGTATTCTGTTTTATATAGCCTTTCTCCAGATATTATGGTGTGGCTATTAACACAGTTAAAAAATAGCCGAAAATATTAATCTCAAGTATGCAGCATTCAATATTAAGACAAAGTAACAAAATACAGGGTGTTTTACTTAAAGATAAGAGATGACGGTTTTAAAATTATAATATTCAAAAATATTACTACAAAAAGCGCATCGTTTTGTTTATCTATCCGAAAAATATTGCAACATAGATTTTATAAGTAAATTTTGGAAATTTTTTGTGAATTTTTGCATTGCTAAAAAATTTCTTGCAGGTACACTCGAAGAAGAGATCATTCAGGACCTGCGAAAATATATATTGTAAAGCTAAAAGTAATTTTAGTTTCTGGTATTCAAAAAGTCATAACGTTATTTTTTTTATTTTTACTAATTGATGAAGAGCGCGCCTTTATTGACCCACTCTGTATAATAGTATATTTGGTTTTAATTAATTAGCACAGCAACATGTTTTTCTAACGAAATGTTAGTGAATTTTAAATTGGAAAGATAAATGAGTTACTTTATTTAGGGGGAGTCCGAATTGCGCACATGACCTGAAAAAGATAGGAGTTGCGCCCTTTTACCACTCGGAAAATGTCTGAATTGCGCTCACTACCTGAATGCTCCCTTACCGCGTTCTTAGACCCTATAGTACAGGTAAAAATTACTCTCCATTGGAAAACCCAGTGTTTCTGATCAAATTTGTCTCAGATTGATTGTAAATTCGTGTATAATTCTGTATATAATCTACACAGATGCTAATGAGCTGTTGTTTCCTCGTATCATGTGAAAAATTTTGAGGAACAACAACAAATGCTTGCAAATCGTTTCACGCGAAATAATAACTCATTTAGTTCTTGTCATCCTAATAGTTTTATCTCCTCGAAGTATTAAAGAAATTTGTCTTTATGTAAAAATTTGGGTTTCTTTAATGAAGAAAAAATACCATACTTAGAAATTATGAAAAAAAACTCCAACAAAATTTTACCTACTTCAAGGAGGATAAAGCGGGCTAGGTGTGATAATATTTCCAGGTAGCGGGCGCAATTCGGAACATTCACCTACAGAAAAATGTGCGCAATTCGGACTTTTTGAGTTCGAAAACTCAGGTAGCGGGCGCAACTCTGATACATCCTATTTGCGTTCTGGTAAAGATGAGAGGGTTTTTCAGATTTTTTGTTATTATCATATCGTGTTCGATGTGATGCATGAGTGGATTTGACTGTAATTAAATTATTAATTACCCAGACGATACAACACGGACTAGGTGGTAGTTATCAGATTTATTGGCTAAAGTTTATTGAGTTAGTTACTCAAACCTCTACGTAATTAGAATCTATCGGAATTTTTTGTATTTTTATATTTACTGTGATAATGAATAAAATATTTAAATATATCTTTACGTTTTTTTATTTACCTCAAACTAAAAAAAAAATTGAAATTAATTACATAATAACTATTACGTATCTTTAACGCCTTAAGCTGTTTGTATTGCCATAAATATTTTAGCTGCTATCTTGAGACTCATCATTATCAATATCTCGAAGATTGATGTGTTTTTGATTACTGAAATGCTATGAAAATGTTAACCCCGATCACTCCATCGAGAGAATGTTTCGCTACATAAAAATGTAAATAACTATTTAAGTTTATTGATAAACAGTTTAAACAACCTCATATTGGCCATAAGGGAAGCGGTTTCAGTGCGATAAGAGTTTATTAATCTTGAATAGGCGAGTTTGCGGTTGAGCCCCAATTCACATTTATTACCTTGTTCCTCGATGAAGTGGTCGCGTTTTCATTATGGCGGATGAACGCTCGGTGAGTATTCTATTGATTGCTGATACACTCATGCATTGACATTTTCGAGAAGGGCCTTCATTGGGCCGTTTCTTCTGGAGACGAGGCAGCCGTACGTTTTTCCTTAGAGCACGGTAATGAAAACGTGAATCTAAAAGATAACAAAGGTTGCACTCCTCTGCTGTTGGCCGAATGCATTAAAGATGAGGACAGTTACGAGTCCATCGTGAGAATTCTTGTCGAAAACGGGGCAGATGTAAATGTCTGCAACAACACTCCCTTGTATAGTGCTGTGTTTTACCAAAAGCAACACTTGGTCGAACTGTTGCTCCGAGCTGGAGCTGATGTCCGTCAGAATAATTTACTGCATATTGCTGCCGAAAAAGGGAGCGAAGGAATATTAGGGCTGTTGCTCGGAGATAAGAGATGCACGGAAGATGTAATCAATGGCCGAGATAGAAATGGGAGAACACCTGCCTTCGTGGCCGCACAACATGACCGGGAAGGGTGTTTGAAGATGTTAATAGCTAAGGGTGCCGACTTAAGTCGTGCTAATTTCAATAAGGAGACAGTTATGGAGATTATCTTCGAAAATATGACCAGGCCGGTGCAGTTTATGATGGACGCTCTGGATTCGAGTGTTGTTCTCGAGAAGATTAACGAGAAAAACCGATATTACGTCGGTGAGTTTTTACTTTTGGCATCGCACGCTATTAATAGAGTTTTCTCATGTCCACGTTCAGATTTCAAAGTACTGGCTCCGACGAAATGCTCTAGACAAATGGATGTAATTTCCAGCTTGCTTGTAGCTGCCAACGACGAAGAGAAGACAGAAGTTTTACAACACCCTCTTATTGGTGAGTGGGGAATCGATGTTATTACGCCATCAACGGATTTTTTACAGAACTCTACCTGACATTGAAGTGGTCAAGGGTTTGCTATTTCTTTTATTTGTGGATTGTTGCTTATGTAGTTTTCGTACTTTCGATGTCAATCTACGTTACTTTTCTGACACATGACTACTACAGAATTGACGGAGCAATGATGGCTTCAAGATGTATATTGATTGTGAGCGCTTCGTGTCTCATAGCTCATGCCGTCTTACAGGTACAACATTTAATCTAACTATCACAACTAATAGTTTAGCCTCGGATTCATTTTTTGCACAACTAAACCCACCCGACCTAACAATCCAATTACAACATTAAATTAGTTTAGATAGTTTAATAGAGAAATAATTTGGTCCTTTAAGATGGGTTAAGTTAAGGATCGTCTCTTGGGACTGGAAACGTCAGGGACGTTTCATGTTCCAAATAGCATTTCGACATAATCATGTTTTAATCCAATGAATCAAGCCCGCTGTTCTATTAGGATCGATAGATATCCGTATCCCTTCACTTTGCTCTTTTATTTTTAGTTAATGAACTAGAATTTTCACCATTTAATTGTCCATAAAAAATAATGCTGTGTAGGGGTTTTTTGATTTATCGTTGACTATTGCAGTGCTGCCTAACGCACGGCAACCATTTCCGCAAGTACGAATTGTGGCTCAACCTGGGCTGCACTTCTCTCTCTTTAATTGTGGCAATCGCAGAAAATCCTGCAGAAAATGCAACTATTATGCACGGTAAGTTGCTACAAAATGAAAACTGCAGCGTCGGGTTGGTAACTAGGTATTTATAAGCAACTTTCTAGTGAGTTTAAACTGATATTTCAGTTTCCTCAGTACATAAGTGCATACAATCTTCGAATAAAACGAGTACTAGAATTTTTTGTCAAAAATGTGTTCATGCAATTTTTATAAATTGATTTAAAATTTTACAGTTAGCGTATTTCCGAAAAATGAATATTTGCTAGACATACACATGGTTGAATGATATGCGGAATTAAAGTGCTGTATTATGAACAGTTTACAAAGTAAATTTGTTATAGACAGGTGTATCATTTAAATATAAACGTAGAGCATAACTTCAAACCGTACTGGATCCAGAATCTTATATAAATTGTTCGAAGTTTGCTGAGACAATCTTTAAAAGAAACGGCTAGCTAAGTGTTTTGAGACATTTTATTCTGCTGATTCTAAAAAATAAACTACTACTGAAAGACAAGTTAAAGTGGAGTACCTACTTTATAATAAAGATTTATTTAATACTTCCATATTTTTGAGATGACGTCAGCGGTTTTTTGGTTTGGGTAACGATATTAATTTTCATGTAGACAATATACTCGTAGATTTAAAATTTACTTAAATGTAGTGAAAATTTTGAGATGATGTCATAACTGTTTGGTTAGCGTTTTACCATGACGATACCGCTTAGGCACACTTAAAATTTGTGTTGGAATAAACCTCCGACCACTAGTTATTTAATATAAATTTAGAGAAGCTGATTTTGAGTTACAACTTTTTTGATTTGTACTTAGTTTTATTTGAAACCGTGAAATTGGTCTTGCTGATTTTATAACTCTTTGTTGTTGGGAGTTATATTTAACATTGACTAAATGGGTATAGCTTTGGTCTAAAAACGATAGTGTATTGTTTTAAGTTTTAACTTTAATGTGTTTTCTTGTATGAGTGTGTTGTAGCACGGATTTGAAAGAGTAATTAAATATAAACATATCGTGCTAAAACGTATAATGGTTGAATTTTTCCCTATCGATGATTTTGTTCAGCAGTTACGTTATAATTGTTCAAATTTAATACCCTGGGTTATAACATTTTCGCAACATGGCTCGTAATAACATAACATAGTCACGTTAGTCAATATTTATACAAAATAAATATATTCTTTTGTCATAATCAAATTTCTGAATAATTGTAAATAATGAAATTAAATTAACTGACATAATCAAGTTTTAATGTAAAATTTATCGTAGTCAGTAACAGCAGAAAAAACATTTAACAGAGTTGTTTTTGTAATATAATTAATTCATAATCATATGAATTAAAAAAATACGGGAAACTTAGGAAGCGTGATGTTAAAACGTGTTGAAGTAAGATATAACAATAACATGTAATATACTTAACCAGATTTCGCCGCACTCGTAAACAAAATCAAATTGAAATATTTAAACAAAGTTGTGGAAAATAAAGGAACAAAATAAGCTTCTCCGCTATTAGTGTTAAATTTTACATTTTAAATTAAAGCAAGTCCACAGAATAATACTTAATTCAACTATTTACTCAGGATGATTTGAAAAACTGACATATAAACCGATTGTTTTACCTATTATTTTGAAAAAGGTTAAATTAATATTTCTGAAAGGATTGAGACACGGTTAGGTTACGAATAGTCTACATTTTCTGATCAAAATAAATATGCTTATACCCAGCAAAAAAGTGAGGAAATCGTCTCAAAAAATTGTTAAATAAAGCGTTATTGAAAAGTACACCCTGGGAGGGTTGCGGTACTTTTTACGTATATTTATTTGTTTACCCAATTTAATTTACGGTTCATAGACTACGAACCCTTTCTCGAATGAAAGAACTTAAAAATTGTCTGAAGCACACACACATCGTTGCTTTGTTTTTCTTTCCTTTTTGTTGTTTTCTCGACGTTTTATGACCTCTAGTGTGTGAAAAAATAGGTTTCCCGTTGCTGTTTGTTTGTCGTGTGTCAGCTGCGATCGACAGGTAATCTCCGAAACTGTTGAACCGATTATCGTTATATTTTAAAAGTATTTTAGGAGTATCATATAGATGGTGAAACGCCAACCAAAATTTCACTGATCGTCTCTACTAATAATAATCTGACAATACCACTTCAAAATTTTGCGTGGGAAATGCAATTTTAATTTTATGTAGTAACATACTCCTTTACTTGTGGGTTACGAATCCGTTTTGAGTTTTTACCCCAGGCGTTCAGATTTTTGTAAAAAAAAATCAAAACTATGCATAACAATATGAAAAGAGCGCTGACCATCCGCTGATTATTACGGGTTTGGTGCCCGCATGTGCCACTTTTTTTCTCACACTGTACTATTTATCGATATTTTTTTAAACTGGATTTGTTGGATTGAACTTCAAGGGAGATGGAAGTGCTGTTTAATAACATGAGGTTAATTTATACCTCCCGAACGTAAGTTAGAGAAGTTCCTATTGTAATAGGGCTCATCCAGGGAATGGTAACTTTTATGTTTTCTCGATGTGTCATGATCCCTTGTATAATATATATACATATAGAGATTTATGTTAGGAATGATAGGTTACCTCAAAATTTTGCATTTTTTGTGGTGTTTCAATAGAAATGACTATATAAAAATATTTACGCATTAGGTCATTAGGTGTATGCAGTGTTGCCAATTATACTTTTAAAAAATTACGTTTATTTCTTACATCCTAAAGAATTTTTTAATTATTTTTTTGAAAATCCCGAAACCCCCACACATAACATACTGAATAGTTAATCCGCCATTTTCCATACATCCGGTATATTTACATTTTATGTAAGAAATTTTTCTAAAGTATAAAACGTTTTAATCATAAGTATTGTTTCACAGTTTTCTTAAGCTCTAGTAGTATTTACGGTATATTTCGTATTTTTTTGAGCAGTTTGTTGAATAATTTTCGCTTACGCTTAAGGTCCATCCAACAAATTGCTACTTTTATGATTTTTCGACGTTTCATGACTCCTAGAATACGAAAAAGTAGATCTCGCGTCTCAGTTTTTCTATTATCTGTGGTCTGTCTGCCAGTCTGCCTGTCGTTTGTGTCAATGTTTATTAGACAGACAATCTTGGAAACTATTGAACCGATTATCATCAAATTTTTCGTGAATCTCAGGAATATCGTGTAGATGGTAAAACGCTGACTAGAATTTGTCTATTCATCCCACTAACAATTGGAAAACGTCATCTACAAAATTTACAAGAGTAAATGTTATTTAAATTTTATGGTATAAGATAATAATAATAATAATTTTATTTTCTGAAAACCGTAATATAGTGTAGGATATCGTCAAACAAGCATGTTATATCTAAACTAAAATTTAAAATTTAGAACACATTACAGGTTAAAAACAACAAAATCACTTGTGCTTTTTAAACAAATTAAAATATTCATCAAATGTGTAAATTGGTGTTTTTAAGAGGAATTTCTTTCATTTCATTTGGTAGTTCATTATAAAATTTGATAGCTCGGTATTGGAGACTTTGTTGTGTGCGTTTTATTCTATGAGCTGGAATGGCATAGTTTTCCCGCTTTCTAATTCTATTTAATCGTGACACCATCCATTCGTGTTGTATTTACATTTATTTACATGGAAGTATTTCAAATCGTTCCGTATGTACAAACATGGAATTCTAAGTATCTGTAGTTCTTTAAAGGTCTTGCGATAGCTTTCATTATATTTTAAGGAATATATTGACTTAATTGCCTTTTTTTGCAACACTTGTGTGGTCTATGAATCCGGGTTGAGTTTTTTCCTTAAACGTCCAGATTTTTGGAAAGAAATCAAATTTGTGTAACGACATTTTACAGTTTAACTTTGAACCTGTTAAACCGAATGCCCTGAATTGTTGCAAGCGTTGTAATCGTAAGTATTGTATAAATCCTATTTAAATATCTATAAACTATTTTTTAGAATTACTTAGGTATAAGGTGACTCAAAAATATTAATAAGGCCCGGGAGAATCTATTTTATTGATCAAATCAACAGTGGGTCACCCCGTTTTCTCGAAAATTTGGGTGTACACTACTGTTATTGTTGGTATTAGACTGCATCCATTATCTATTCAAATTGCTATTATTTGTCTTTGTTAAAGTGTTGAGGACGTAATCATAAAATTTTGTTTTCGAAAAATTCACTTGAAACAAACGCATTGCCTGCTACTTTACCTATAATTTAATAGTCTACACGTATTTTTATTTTAATTTATGGGGCTTATCATAAAAAAATTAAATTCGCAAAATTAAATTTTATAATTTTTTGACGAAGCTATAGATATTTGTTCGTCTGTATTTTAGGGGTAAGTGATAGTCTAAATAACTTCAGACTATGTTTTCCAAGTATAGTAATAGTGTTTGTTTCTATGGGTTTAATACGAGAAGAATACTTATTTTAACTTAATTGAGGCAAACATATCAACAAATGTTTTTCTGTATTCATGTTGAAACTGATACCTGTGATAATTTTTATGGTTCTACGTGATAGCCTAATAGTGTCCACTCTGCAACTCGCATTTCCTCAAATAATTACTGCGACAATGATACATACTGTAATAGCCCATTTCAAGAACTATAGCTAGAAACTTATAATTCAAATAATGAAGAGTGAATATATGAAACTTTTCATCATGAAAACTGTACTGTAAGCCTAAAGTTATTCCTAAAAACGTAATTTCCGTTTCCAAGTTTTCATTAAAAGTTTCAGATTGCTTAAGAGTAAATGTTAGTGTTTTAACTTATTGACGTTTAACGTCAATTTGTTTGTGCAGACAGAGCCTTTTTTAGTACAGTCAGTAATTAACTTAGTAAAGGATGAAATAATGATTTCTTTCCACTGTCTTATCATTCAATCAAGCAATAATTAATTATGACTTAATTATTTATTTTGAATTACCTTATATTCGTGGTGCAGTTAAACCTTACAGAAGACAAGATAACAGACTTTGAACATGATAAATATGCTTTTCCAGCTGTAAGTACGTGTTCTACATTATAATGATTACAATGTACAGTCTTAGCCGGAAAGTTAGAACATCGACCACAAGTTATGCATTAAATATTCTAGTTGCAGATAGCACATGGGTCTTGCACATAGCCAGCATCGCAATCTTGATGTCGTGGGCAGAACTGATGTTGTTAATTGGCAGACTTCCAACGTACGGATATTATGCACTCATGTTTTCGGCCGTGCTACAGAACGTTATTAGGGTAATATAAATGAGCCGTCCAAAATGGCTTACGAAAGTTCCATTCGCAGGTCCTGATGGCTTTCTTATGTCTGGTGGTGGGCTTTGCGTTAAGTTTTTCTATTCAGTTTTCCAGCTGTAGTGATTTCCGTGACCCTTGGCGTGCATTAGTCAAAACGACTGTTATGATGATGGGCGAATTCGAATATGGCGATTTGTTCGCCGATAAAGTGGTCGGGCCGGCGGGGGCGACCTCGAGGGTGATTTTCCTGATGTTTATCATCTTGACCAGCATCGTGCTGATGAACTTGATGGTGGGTCTGGCGGTAAGCGACATCCAATGCCTGTGCAGAGTGAGCCATGCCAGGAAACTGGAAAAGCAGGCTGATTTCCTAAGCCAGCTGGAAAAAGTGCTCACATCGAAGAAATTTAGAGGGAAGTATGTGCCGGAGATTGTAAAGAAAGTTCTTAAGCGGAACTGCATCGACACTAGGTACGAACTGGATGTGTCAACTAAGTTCAGGCGGTCCAAGAAACTTTCATCCAAGCTTATAGGTAATGCGAAGTTCTGCATAAGCCGAGATAAAGCTGCTAAACTACGGCGCTTCACTCTATTTTACTTATCGCCAAGTCGGCTTTAAATATTTTATGGATGTGTTAAACACGAATAATGTTGCTGTGAGCGCACTTTCGTAAATAGGTAATTCTTTTGCAGATTCTCTGGTGGGGATAGCCAAATCTCATAGAGGGAAAAATGATCAGGAGGGTTAAACTTTTATTGAACACTCGTCTGGCAGTGTGGATCGGAAATGGAATCAAAATTTGATGAGCCATCTTTGTGAATATTTTAGTTTCCGATCATTAAAGTACTGTTTGATAACCAATATCAGAATAAATTGTTTGCATACTTCTCTCCCCGACTTTATTTCTCGAATTTTCGGAGTCATGATATAACGAGACAGAATTGTGATTGCAAGTTTCAGAATGCAGAATAAAGTAAGTGGCCTGGAAGCGCAAATATGTATTGATTTCCTTAAATTGCAAGCAAAAAAAAATTGTGTCAAAATTTCTACAAACAACTGTCTAATTGCGTTAATAAATATAGAATGAATTATAAATACTTACTCAACTGATGTAAAAATATGAAGTAGATTTAATTTAATTCAAACTGAATTACTGTATTTCTGATGAACATTCCGCTTCAAATATTACGTTGGTATCTGCCCTTAGTTCCACGAGTTTGAGTAATCATACCCACAGGCATGTTGAAACTTGCATAACACATCAAAATTTGCATATCAGGGACTTTTTACTTCCCGAGCGTAAACTAAGGTAGATGTTAAAACGCTGACCAAAACTTGTCTGATCAACCCTACCACCAGTGCAATGACGTCATCTCCGAAATTTGCAATAATAAATGTTTCCTTATAAACAGTGACTCAAAATATTTATTAATGAATCAATTTATTTGTTTGTGTACTCAAATGACAAGTGCGCTTTTGACTTAAACAAAATAATAAAGAAAAGTGCCGTTTTTCTCGTTAGTAACCATCCAGCTTTATTTGAATTTTTTGTTTTTCTCCATTCATGAAAGTATTTGTAACACTTTTACTAATTGTTTTACAATTTTACATGTACTAAATCCCCAGTTGCTTCTACAGGTTCTCCAAAAATGCCAAGATCCGCAGAACTGTTCTGAGTACACGAAGAAATAGCATGTTCAACGCGTAAGAAATGTGTGTTTTCCATGCTCGTGTAAACCTTTAACACTCACTGGAAAACAACCACTTTTCTTTACTTATTAAACAATGCAATATTAGTAATACAATAATGTTATTGGTATTACACTGCACCTATCCCAATTGATACAAGTGTCCTTGCAAAAATGTTGATGACGTCATCACTAAATTTTGTAGAGGAAAAATGCAATTGCAATATACGCATAGCACGTTTTTTTACATTTAGTTTATCATTAAATACATATCTTTATTTAACTTATAAAAGTCCTCATAAAAATAGAATTCGTATTATAAAATATATAATTAATAATATTTAATTACAAGAGCCTTTGTTGTAGTGGGATGAACCGTAGCTATTTATACCTAACTAACAAAATTTAAAACTGGTTTCACGATGCAAATAAACCAACATTTCTGTTTTCTATTCAGTGTAATTAAAAGTATTACGGAAATATTAAATTACGTTACTGGAAAAAATTAATAGTAGTGGAAATACTGCTTTGTCAATAACATGAATACAGAAATGCGTTTCTTTTATATAAAAGATATAGCAAAATAAGGAAGGAGCACTAGCAAAGTGTTCGCCAGAAGTTTCTTGCAAGATAAAAAAAAAAACAAAAACACATACGAGGAATGAGAAAAGAAAGACGGAAAGACGGGCGTTTCGATTTCGAACTCATGTTGGAAATTAGAAGCAACAGTGTTCAGGTTGAATGAAAAACTTTAAATTTTTAAATGTGTAGTTACAACATTTTTAAGTAACAATAAAAAACCCAATTATGCCGTTATATTTTGCAGTTATGAAAACATTTACTTAATTACGTATTTATTTTTACTTTGCTGATAAAATTTCTGCACCAGTGCACTTAACTTCATCTAGAGTAAAATTCACCATAAAACTTTAATTTGACATTCGATTTGCGATAATCTCTAAAATGACACACCAAACTGGAAGTCGTTTAAAAAATTAAGCTCTGTCCATTTCGCTTAAACTGAGTCGGATGCTACGTATTTTTTACTTTTGTAAACGCTATTACAGTGAATTTAATATGTATGCTGTAATTACTACCCTACCCCTTTTTGCAACAGTTTTTGTTATTTGATTCTTATAAAAAAAGCAGAAAAAAAAGTGATTTCATAAATGTATCCGCTGCGAATGCACGGTTTTACAAATTAATGTAACACAGCCATGTATAAACCTCAAAATAATACTAAAGTAACCAAACGTTTCAATAATATTTTCAATTTTTACATTATTCATACGCGTTCGTTTTTAATTATTGATTTTACAATTGTTCACACTCGACTGTTAACTGTTGTTTACGTCTCCTTTTAAGCACTTTACCAAATAAGAATATTTTAAAGAGAACTTCCTGTTTCGATTAGTTATTTATTTCTCGGGTGTAAGCTAGGGATTTATTGTAACAGGGTCCTGGCAAATGGCTATTTTCTTGTTTTCTCGTCGTTTGATACAGTATGAAAAGCTAGGTCTTCCGTTTCCGTCCGTTTGTCGTTTGTTACCTATTTGTTGGCGATTTTATTGGAGAGATATTCTCCGGAACTACTGTGGGCTGACTGCTGCGAAATTTTAGGTGTATCTTGAGTTTCGTGTAAATGGTCACACGTTAGCCAAAGGTTGTCTGATTAAATATCATATTCTCAAAAAAAACTTTTACTTTTAAAATAATGAGCCTTTATTTGGTAGTTATTTGCCGGTATTTGCCAATTGAGCAAGCAATGCGTGGGTGTTACCAAAATCATTATTTGAAAAATAAAATGCACGGCCTACGGGAAGATTATACGGTATTTCGAAACACAAGGGAATAAATAACATAACATAAATAACAAATCTTTGAATTTATATTTTGTTTTTTAGGCAAAATGCTATATATCTGTGAAAAATCGACGCAAATTTTGACAACAAGTTTTGCCCGAATTTTCAAATTTCATTATATGTAAAACTAACGTTTGTACATAATGATCAAAATTAATGCAAACCTAATAAAATAATCGAACCAATCAGTCTTTCCGAGTTAGCAGTTCTTTAGTCGCATAAACTGTCCTTTTCTGTATAGAACTAGTGGCGTCAGAAATGGTGGGGCTCTTGTCCGGGAGGTAGCTAATTCCACCCACTGGTTGGTTTAATTATTAAGTGCGCAAGATTTGGGATAAAAGTGTAACCGATTGACTCACTACCGACATCCTATATATTATCTCACTAATGTTAATCTGCTTACTTAAAGCATATAAGCTAAATACTCGTGAATGCTAAACAACGACGGAAATGTGCTGTACTGATGAGACCACAGGAAGTTGAAACTCAAGCTTTTCATTGTGTTGCCTAACCTTTCGAGTTAGAAATTCTTTAGCTATCTCAATTTTGGTTTTGGCAAACTTTTGCGATAAAGCGCATGCTATTGTTTATGTATTCATAAAATGTTGCAACGGAGATATTAAAAATAATCCTATTTAAAAAATTCCAAAAACAAAAAATGTTTACACAACATAAGAATAAGACAATCTTCGTAATTAAGTGACAGAGCAGAAACTGCAAATAATACTTAATCGCTTGCTGTACATAATCACAATCAGATAATGCAATTTGATTTGATTTTCACCGCATTTATTCGGATCCTTTCGACACAAGAACCACCAGTATTGGTCGAACGTAAGCACCGCAAGAAACTTACGTCGGTTACGGACCCACTTCCGGATGCGGAGTTGTTATAAATGCATGTTAACAAAACCTTATGTTGAACTTTCTTCCGTTGCGTCATTCGGGCCCGTTTGCGTATGCGGAATAGCTATAAATCCAGTTTTAGTTAGCTTACGCTCGGGAAGTAAAAATGTAAGAAAATAGGACTAACTTGGCAACGTCGCATCATAAATCCAAAAATTAATTATTGTTATAAAGCCTAGGAAGTGGAAATTCGGAGTACGTAAAAATATATAGTGTTTTGAGGTTTTCAAATAAAAAAAAAGAAGATATGTTTTAAAAACAAACCACTATAAATATATTTGAAAATAATTCTAGTATATACTACTTAAGTAAGCACTGCTGTGTGTAACCTTTTTTGGACTTTTAGTAATTAATTAGTATTCGAGAACTGCGCGCTTAGTAATTCAACCTGTACATACAGAAGTCAATTTTTTTATTACGACTTGTCATGCCAGGTAGCCGAAATATGATTTTTATATTTTAAATATTTTTTAAATACTTACATAGAAATTGTAGTAATTAAGACAGATACAACATAAATAAGAGGAGTAATTGTTTGTAATTGCCAAATAAGTGATTGAATAGATATCTATTTTGACTTTGAACGAGTAATAATTCTTACATATGTATTACTTAAGAGAAACTATTTTATTGGCTTCAATTAACTTTCGTGTACGAATTAGTAGGTACTACAATGTATTTTTGATTTGCTTATTCCGTTATAATATTTTTACATTTTGTATGCGAGGAAACCTATAGCAACCGGTGACTGTGACGGTGACGGGTTTCGCCGGTATCTTCTGGCATCAGTCCCGCGCCCTCGACCGATTAGGGCCGTTCAAGACACGCCAGGTCGATTTTGGCGAAAAGAGATTCTTTTCACGTCACGGGATTGGCGCTTTCTACGGGAACGGTTGCTCGGGCGCCAGCTTTCTTTCCGGAAAGGGGGTGCTCATGAGGGGCCGCGACGAACAGAAATAATACTCTGGCTTTTGTTTCTTGCCATCGGAAAAAACTAAATAATTATCTACAACAGAACTTTCGTCAAGTAAAAAGATATGTAATATATTGAATGTCGTTCAGGGGCCTCCCTGGCGGCATCTCCTTGCTGGAAGGGGACGGTTCGGATGCTGCGGAGGCGGCGACGTTGGAACGGGGACAGTACGGTGGAGGTAATCTGACAAGAGAAAATTCAAATTGTTTTTTAAAGAAGTGGGAGGGACTAGGGAAATTTTGTTCAAATGAGCTTAGCACACTTTTTGACATGAAACTAGGTTTTACCGCATATTTATTTATAAGTATAAAAAATCGATTTCGTGTTAAACAAACTTCAGGATAAGACTACTTTTATATTATATTTGTTTATAAAGTTTTTAATGATTACATTAATGTTGGATTAAAAATGAGTGTCTGGAAGTACATTGTAAACAAGTGAAAAAAATCGATAAAAATTTA